ATGGATGGGTGAATGGATAGATGGAAGGATGGGTGGATGGGTGGGTGGGTGGATGGATGGGTGGATGGATGGATGGAAGGATGGATGGATAGGTGGGTGGATGGGTGGATGGGTGGGTGAATGGATGGGTGGATGGATGGATGGGAGGATGGGTGGGTGGAACCTGTCCGAACATTTAGACTGTATTCCACCGTGGTGACTTCCCAAGGAGACGAATCTTCACCTGCCAACCAGTGATAGCCAGATGGACCAGTTATTGCACACCTGAGTCCATCAGTGATTTGGCAGGCAATAGCTCCTTTCAGTTCCACTGGGAAGTAGGTCTATAAAGGGGAAGATGGCTCAGAGAGGCTTCAGTGTCCATGACAAAGACACAGTCCATCAGTTGGACTTGTCTGTCTGTCTGTCTGTCTCTCTCTCTCTCTCTCTCTCTCTCTCTCTCTCTTATTGCTCCAAGCTGGTAAAGGTGATGTCTGTTTGCTCACAGAATTTATTTCACATGCTGAACATAAGAGGCACTCAAGTGTTTGTTTTTTGATGTATTAATGAGTGAATGCCTAAACAAATAGAAAGCAAAGGATGAGCTCCTGAAGAGGAAGAGCCCCCTCCCCACTATGGAGTAAGTCTGAGGAAGTCTAAGACAGAGGTGGGGGTCAAGGAAGCAGCCTGGTGTCTGGTTCCTCCCTGGGCTATGTGTATAGGGTTGAGCACCTGACCCTTAGTGACTCACATCTTCAGTGTCGCTTCCCTCCTCCCCAGCAGACCCCAGCATCCCCCCTCTCCCCAACCCCTCCCTCAAAGAAGAGTCCCAGGCCAGGGTTTTACTCCTGCTTTTGATCTCTGCCTCCCACCTCTAAGAGACCAAATTCTTTTACACGTGGAAACTCCCACGAACTAACTGGAGTTTCCCCCAGATCTTCGGGCTCCTTCTCGAGTCCCCCAAATTCCGTGTCTTTGGGGGGCAAGGATAGAAGGATCTCCCTCACAGCGGGACCCCGAGCAGGCGGTGACGGACAGATGCAAATGTTCCACCGGGCTCCCGCAGGCCGCTCGCCCGCCCTCCCTCCCTCCCTCCCTCCCTCCCTCCCGCGCTAGCCTGCCTCCTGGCCTTCTCCCTCCTTCCTTTATCTTATCAAAGCCCCGTAATTACAATTGCTATTTTGTTTCCTCGGATCTGCAATCAGAGCTCCCGCGCCTCGATGAGGGAGCGCCTGTCATCCTGATCTGAGTGACAGCCGGGCCACCTTTCCCTGCCGCCCCCACACTCCGCAAACACAAACACACACATGCACACACTCCCTCCTGCAAACACAAACACACACTCTTGGCTAACACAAACGGCCCTCTGCAAACATGCGGTCGCCAGGACCCAAAGGCACCCCTTGCTCGGCCCCAGGCCCCTCAAATCCACACCCAGGCCACCACGCCTGCCGGTCCCAGCGACTCGCGCCTCCAGCGCCGGCAGTCAAAGTGTACAGACTCTAAGCAGACGCTTCAAATGCAAACTGCGGAGACCCAGAGCCGCAGTTCTTGAGTCTCGCTCCGAGCCCCCGAGCCCCAGGGCCGGGTTGGCCCTCTCTCAGGGTGCTCCAGACACCATCCCGCGCCCGCATCTCCAGCTCTCTGAGGCCAGAGAATTGGCATCACTCCTGTTGTGTGCTGAGAGTGCAGAAAGGGGTATCCTGAAAAGGTGTGATCTGGGAAAGAGGAAAAACAATTCCCAAGCCTGTCTGTGCCGCACCGCAAGGGGCCGGGAAACTCCTCAACTAGGAGGCAAATGTGGATTGGGCTCCCACTGCGGGCAGGCCCGTGCTCGTAGTCCACCCGCCGGCACCCACCAGGAAAACAGGCGAGAGATACAATGGGCGATCAGCGGGGTCACAGGGGGTAGACACTGGGGGGGGGGGGGGCGTGAGCGTCGGGGAGTGCGCGCTTGGAAGGCTTCCGGGGAGGTCGCTGCCTCGCGCACGTACCGAGGGCTTTTGTAAGGAGCCAAGAAAGGGGAATGGCACCAGCTAAGTCCCCTAGCACGGGCGCTTCAGGTGAACGAAAACATATATGCAGACCAAACTTAGTGCCCTTTCCCCTCCTATTCGGCCTTACATTTGTCCGTGGCGAGCTTTACGACCACAGGCATTTTAAAACCCACCCACCAGAGAGCGCTAGTTCCGCCTTCTCCACCAATGGTTCCTAGACCTGGAGGGCCTGGACTGAAGAGGCACCCACGACTCTGATCTCTGAAGCACAGAAGAGCATCTTTTGTCTTCCACTTAAGGTTGAAAACTTAACCCTAACTCCTCACGCACATGGGGAAAGACTTGTGGCCAGGGGGCACCGTTTCCCACTCCCCCCTCCTCAGCCCCTACCCAAGCTGGCCTCCAGTTCCCAATTTTCTTGTGCTGTGCTACCACACCTGGGTTAGGTTCCGTGGGGCACACTGTCTGTGGGCCCAGCCCAGCCTCTTTGTGTTATCTGGGGGGCCCCCTTGTTGGTCAGCTGGTGTGAATTGGCCCGATTCTCTCGGGCCCTGCCTGTTCTCTGTCCATCTTCAGCCTGTCTGGGGAAGTAGCCTTTTGTTTGTTTGTAGGACACTGATCCCCACCCGCCCCAACCCATCAACACAGCTGAACTGCTGACCCCAGAGCTGGTGCCTATGTTCTCACACAGCAACCCCCTTTCTCTTCCCGGCATAGCAGGAGCCACTCCAGAACCACCTAACTCTAGGGCTGACCCAGTGTGGGGTAGTGCTGGGGGCAATAACCCCTTAGCCGAGGAGCTTGATTCCCATGGCTCCTTCCTGCCCCCATATGCCAGGCCACCCGGATTCTGGTTTCCCTGTCACCCAATCTGGCCAGTTCCCTCCATCTGGCCCTGGGAATCAGGTTTCTACGGGCCCTGCTCTACTCAACCTGCCTCAAAAGAGCACAGGAGCAAAGACTGGTCCCCACCACTCACAGGCCCTTTCTCCTAGGCTGAGCCCCTCATGGGGCTAGGGCTGCACATTCCTCAGGTTTCTTAAGCCCACTTATCTGTCCCTCTGCCCATCAGCCTGAGTGCTGACAGAGGCCCAGACCCCTTGTTTGGAAGTTGATAACCTCCTGCGAGGCCCTCCCCCACCTGCAGGAACACAGAGTAGGCTGGAATGGGAGGTCCCTCTGCAGCAAGGCAGAAAGAACTTAGGCCTGCTTTTGGCCTAAGGCCCTAGGGAATAGGATCTCACACCTCACCAGCCCAAGACCTGGGACCACCCTTTGTGCTGCCACAGTGCCACCTGGTGGTCCCTAGGGAAATGTCATCTCAGCGTTGGAAAAAGTCACACAGGAATTGCAAAAAAAAAAAAAAAAACACCCATACACTTTATTTTAGACATTTATCTAAAAATGTAAAAAGTGTTAAAAATGTGTTGTTCTGAACTTCAGATCTTATTGTTTGTTTGTTTTCTATCTTGGGAATTGAACTGGGGGTTCACAAAACTTTCAATCTGGGCAGGTGGGTCCAGAGGTGTTCAAAGATCATCCCACTCCAACAGAAGAGGGAAGCTGCAGAAATACGTGGATGGAGAATGCTTGCTCTCTTTGCACCAGCCCAACTCCCTCCCATCTTCCCAAACGATCCTCTTCATCGAGAAAAACGTTCTTGAAACTTGTCCAGGAACATATGGTGCGGGGCGCCTGTAGCAAGCCGCTATGTGACCTGAGAAAAGCAAGCAAGACTCAGTATCTAAGGCCTCACCTGCTCCATAACTTCCCAGATCCTGCTGGGATCCTCTCCCCTCCTACTCACCAAGGAGGGCTAGGGCCTGCCCCCGTGCTTTTTGGCAGGAAGGATGCCACACATCTTAACTTCCTCCTCTTCACTCTCCTTGTCCTCACTTTCCTCTTCAGAAAAGTCATTGTTTATACAAACTGGTGGATACACATGCAGTACAGACGGGGTTTAGCAAAGGCCCTCAAACACCGCGTGCCACTTATTCAATGCCCTGGGCTGCCAGGCTGACAGGATCCCTCATCTTCCACAGCTCCTAAGTCTAGATGGGAAGAACCTCAGCCACTCAACCGGCAAAACAAAAACAAAAACCCGAGAGCCCACCCACATCACTGGAGCTGGGCACCTGGAGCAGAGCACAGATAGTTTTAGGCATGACTGGGGCACATAATACCGCAACCACGACCTGGGTGCCCCATACACCGGGAGAGGAGGCTGGGCTGAGGCAGGAGTGGAGAGTGAGGGGAGGCCTGAGGAGGGGACCCATTCTTCTCACCGATCTGATGCCGACCAGTGATCCGCACAGGACCAGAACCCGACTTTAGGCGGAAGGTCACGGGTGGCTGGAGCTGGAAATCATCCAGACTGAGCTGGAAGACGAAAAGGAAGGCCTGAGCCCCTCTGGCCCACTCATCTTGAGATTTAATACCGAAGCTCTCAGTCCCGACTGTGCGCCAACAAATGGATAGCCACACTCACCATGGGCTGGCAAGACAGCCTGAGGTTGGCCACAGGAACTGCGATCTCCTGGTTGTCGTGATCTCGGGCTACAACTTCCACCACATTACACTCGTCCTTGGCCCCCTCGGTAAGGCACAGCTGAAAGGCATACAGAGCCTGAGCCTCAGGTGAGGGCTGACACCAAAGCGAAGGTGTCTCACCCTAACACCCGCCCAGTCTCGGCGGGGTACCCGGCGAGGGGACCAGAGAGGTGGCCCGCTGAGGGTAGCCACAAGTGACTCCCAATCCGGGGATGGGGGAGTAAGAGGACGTCCGCTGGGCCCTCATCTCCAGCCCCTTACCATGTTCAAGGCCAGCACGTGTTCCGTATCATCCTCTTCCTCAACCTTGAAAGTGAAGGAGCGGGTGTGGCCGGAGAGCTCACAACCTGCAAGAGCCAGAGCGGTCGCGTTGAGCGGAGCACCGTGGAGGTGCGCGCGGGCGCTTCACAAACTCCGCTGTCGCGGGGTGACCGGCCTTTTACTCCTCTGACATCTCTTCCTTCAAACAGCTGGGCGGGCGTCCCTCTGGGGCCGTACAGGCCGCGAAGGGTTGGGGAAAGCGAGGAACCCGGCCCACACCCACGTCGCCCAGCCGCGTTCCTCAGCCTAACATCTCACCCGTCCCGGACCACCCTCTACCAATCCCATCTCCAATACCGAAGAAGAAACTATCCATTGTGACCGGAGCCGGGACCCTCAGGCCCCCTATGCCCCCAGCCCGGGCTCGGCTCTCTTGATTTAAAAAGGCTAAAGCGGCTGCAGCGCCGGCGGCCATGCTGAAACGGCCGTGATAGCCCCGCCCCCCACGCACCGAACGCACCACCTCGGGGAGTTCCGGCCCCGCCCATTAAAGGAGCCGCGCGCACCCAGGCGCGAAAAAACGAACCGCTGCAGCTGTCATCGTTTCGGCAGGAACAGGTAGCAAGGCTTCAGAAGAAATTTTCACGGAAGCATAGAAATGCAGGCTTAAATGTCGGCATCAATTCATTCCCACGGTTCTGAGGACCCTTTTCTCCAGCTCACCGTATTTCCAGCCCAAGGATATGTAAAGATGTTAGTGTAAACCTTTCGTATCTCCACTGTCAGTCAGCTTGGGGTTCAGAGAAGCCGTTTCTACTTTCCCCAGAATTCCCACCCACACCCTTGTCCTATTAACCGACCCTTAGATAACCCTTCTGATCGTGATGGACGCTTGACAGCAAATGAACTGCTGTTCCTATCACACTCCTGAGCTCCTACTTGCAAGCTCCTCCTACTAGGCACACCCTTGTGCTTTGGTTTCTCTGCCATCTAACTTCGGCGACCCCCTCCCCCCAACCAGTGTGCCCTCACTAAAGGAGACCAACCTACGCAGTTCCTAGTCCACCCTTCAACTTCACACAAACTACAGTTAAGGCAACTTACTTAAAAACACATGTACTTTTCTGAGAAAAACCTAAGATCTTTGCTGGAGAAGGGGGTGGGGGCAGGGCGCTGTCTTCCAAATCCAGCCTACATAGAAACAGCTTTGGATACCTGCTTTAGCTGAGGAATCAAGAGATGGGAGAGACCAGAGAAAAGGCAGTACACCACCACACATATTCACTTCAAGTTTTATTTTGCCTCTTGCATGGTCTGCAGATAGTTTTACAGTTCTTTTTCTACAGGAACTGAGCTGTGATCCAAACAATGAAATGTTCCAATCTTAGTACTCATAACCATGGAAGACGGCACAGCACTTTATCCTCGAGCAGTGGCGGTCTAGACCTGGGCATGTTTCAGCTATGTCCAGAAGATCATCCCAAATGATTACTCAAAGTCAAACAAAAAGCAACTTCTTTAAAATTCCTGATTCCATATGAAAGTGACTCCGAAATCCTCCAAATAAAGCATTGTAATTCCCACTGAAGGCCTGGGGTGTATTCAGAGAAAGCTGAGAACAGTGAACGGTCTTACTATCTATCTAGAACAATTTTGCCCTTCACCTCAAGCCTTCAAAACCAAACTTGATTTCAGTTTTCCAACAAATCCTATCACGGTTTTTACCCTGATGAGGTGGCTTATTTCAGCACACTCCTGGGCCTCCGGCAGAAGCCACTAGATACACTAGAGTGCTAAATATAAGACTCTCAAAAGCTCCCACAGGAGTTCTATAAAAGAAAATGTTCAAGTTTCCTTTTCTCTCTCTCCCCACCCCTCAGCTCAAAGTTCAAAAGCTGATGTAAAACCGGAGGGAAGCAAGATTAACAAAATACTGTTGAAAAATCTATGAAGAAATTATTAGTTAGCTAGCCATGATTTAAAAGAAGAAAAAATCCTGCAGACTATCTGCCAGCTTCATGCTCAAACCCTTTAAACTCACCAAATCTAAATTAAAAATACATGAAGTTTTCAGGATCGCTAATTAAAAGAAAAAGTATACTCATGGTTAACATATACTTATTCTTTTAAAAAATAGATACAAACATGCAAGAATTAAAGACTGATTCAATTAAGCCAGTAGCTAAATAGGTCTTGAGATTAAATGACAACTGTTCTAAGGGCAAATAAGACCACTGTCAGTCCCCTTACCCTTACTTGACAACAATGTCAGAACATTTCACATGCGGATCTGCTATTAAGGTTAATTTCCAGAAGTAACTGAATTCCCAACAGATTTGAGTCATATGAAGTTAGGTGCTCACACCCAATAGTCATGGCCTGTCCCTAGGTGGGAGGCACTTGAAAAATAAAACTTCTTAGGAAGAAAAAGACAAATGTAAAGGAAATCTACCATTCACTGGTTTACATTATTGAAAGTGCCATCCTAAACCAACACCTTTCATTTTCAAAGGAAAAAAAAAAAACATAATATATAAAAACAGTAAACAAAAAAGAATAGTCAGGTTACAGCTAGTCTATATACAAAGAAATTTACAAGTTTGTCAGTTTAGGCCTTTGCCACAAACAAATGCACATTTGTCCCTACAAAGCACAACTGCACGTGAACCAACAGTTACAGGAGACAGTTGGCCAGAGCTTTACAGAAAGCAGAAAAATTGCCCCAAATTGAAACTCACTAAATCTTTCTCATTCCTGCCATGTCTCCAAAGAACAGGAACGTTGCATCCAGCACACCAAGAAGACAGACTGGTCTTCAGTGAGAAATGCAACCACACTGGATGCAGAAAATAGTGCTGACTACATTTATTTAAGAACCTCTTCCTAAGGAACCTCACAGAAGAGGCCCTGACACCTAAGACAAGACCCAAAGGAACACGCCATGTTCGTTTCACACAGGGTATGCAGCAGGACTATCTTCTCCCAACCAGTGAGTACTGAGGACGTGATGGGTGAGTTTTACAGTCATCTTTGTTTCCAATTCAACCGGCTGATCTGCTGCCGCTCCAGAGACTGAACTGTGTGAAGACCTCAACCACCAACCACAAGGTGGAGGTAAGAGACTTTTGGACAGTTCACAGTGCAAAAAAAAATGTCACAGGCTTCGACCAAGTATAACCACATCCTTTGGAAATCCTTCCATCTTTGCAATTTCAAAACAGCCTAATTTGCTGTAAAATTCCAGAATCCTTTTATCATCTGGTCTTACTTCACAGAAAGCCCCCCCGAGAGCCTAGAAATAAAACAAATATTTTAAATGTGAATAAGTATATCATATAGATATGAATCATAATGCTTAATCAGATAACAGCTTTATCCATCTCTAAATTTCATATCACAATTAATTAAAATTTTTTGTAGTACTGGGGTACTCTTAAGCTATATTGCCAGCCCAACAATTTAAAAAAATTTTTTTTTGTTTTTGAGATAGGGTCTCACTGTGTAGCCGTTTGGCCTAGAACTCAACTGAGCAGGCTGACTTTGAACTCAAAGACATCCACCTGCCTCTGTGTTGGCATTAAATACATGCCACCACACCTAACTTTAAAATTTTTATTAGTCAACAGTGAGTGATAGAATTCTAGGATTAAGGCCTTGATCCTACCACCACACCCTTAATCCTAGCACTCAGCAGGCAAGGCAGGCAGATTTCCGGGAGGCCACCTGGCCTATTTTCAGTTTCAGGACAGCCGGGGCTACATGGAGAAATCCTGCCTCAAAAAAAAACAAAACAAAAACAAAAAAACCCACAACAATAAAAAAAGGGCTGGAGATAACAGCTCTACGGTGTTCACCTATTGAGGTGGCAGTGTCAGGGATAGAACCCAGAGTCGGGTGCATGCTAGGTGTTACACTGGCTACACTACAAGTCATCACTGAGCTGCGGCAGCAGACCTGCACAACTCTGAAAATGGCTTGACAAAATACTCACTCTTCTCCCAGCCAAGGGCTAAAGTTTGTTGAGACAGATTCTCACCATGTAGCTTGGGCAAGCCCTGAACTTGCTTGTTTTTTTTTGTTTTTTCTTTTCTTTTAAGTTTATTTATGTATATGAGTGCTCTGTTTTCATGCATACCAGAAGAAGGAATTAGATTGCATTACAGATGGTTGTGAGCCACCCTGTGGTTGCTGGGAATTGAACTCAGGACCTCTGGAAGAGCAGACAGTGCTCTTAACTGCTGAGCCATCTCTCCAGCCCTGAATTTGTAATCCTTTTACCTCAGCTTCTCAAATTCTGGGATTATGTGTAGCCACAAAGCTGAGCCTTTATCTTAAAGAGCTGCCTAAAAATATTCAAGAAATAGTACCTGTGACTCTTAGAACCTAAAACCTAATTTTGCTCTAAACAGACTTTTTCACCCACAGCATTAACGGTGAGGTAAGGCATTTTTGAAGGCTCCATTTGGGTATTACACTCCAACAAAAGTTGCACAAAGTTTCTTCATTAGGTGAATTTAATTTTCAACCATTTTATGGGCCTCTGAGCAAAATAAATGTAGTATCTCCTGTGTTGATTAGCATTTTTTCAATAATCAATGAACATGAACTCAAACTAGTAAGAACTCAAGGTAAATAAGCAGGGAGCCCGACACAGTAGGCACAGAACCAGCTTCGTAGGAGGACAAGGAAGGAAGATGGCTTGAACCCAAGATTCTTAAGGCAATCTGAACAATATAGTGAGATCCCTTACCACCCCTAAAATACACCAAGACCAATGTGACTGGAAAAAAAAAAAAAAAAAAAAAGACAAAGACTACTAGTGTGTGTGTGTGTGGGGGGGCATATGTGTATGTGTGCATGCACATGCGTGCACATGCCATGGCATAATATGGAAGGCAAAGAACAACTCTGTAGAACTAGTTTCTTCTACCACTTACTATAAGGACTTTGAGACTGAACTCCGGTCACCAGGCCTTTTTAAAAGACCTCTCCTCTGTGCTATGGCACACTATGTGAGAGTCAGTTCTTACCTCCTGCCCTAATGGGGTTCTGGGAACTGAATTCAGGTTACCAGCCTGCCTCTGTGTAACCAGGGCCTTTACCCAATGAACCTTCTTCTCCATCTTGTTTCACTGTCATCCTCAACCCAACCCCTGCTTTTATGGAGAGGGTTTGAAGAAGCCCAGGCTGGCCTAGAGTAGCACACTCCTGGTTTCTTAGCTTCTCAAGTGCTGGGATTCTAAGTGTGAGTGACCAGACCCAACTTTCTTTTACTTCCAATCTTAAAATACAGCTCTAAGGCCAGACCCAGAAATGATAGCATAAACCTATGAGAAATTTCAGCACTCAGGAATCTGAAACACAAGATTGTGGGATTCTAGGCCAGCCCCTGAGTGACACTTGTAAGACCTTGTTCAAAAAAGGCCAAAACTAAAGTAAATACTTAAAAAACAAAAACAAACAAACAAAAAAAAACA